ACAGTATATGAACCTGAAGCTGATGGCAAAACCAACACTGGAGCTGTGGTCAAGACTGTCTTGAGCTTCTGAAAGCTCTCCTCACACTCGTCCAACCATACAAATGGAGCACCCTTCTGAGTCAACTTGGTCAAGGGCGATGCAATGGATGAAAATCCCGGAACAAACTGGCGATAATAGCCTGCCAACCCAAGAAAGCTACGAATATCTGTCGCTGAGGACGGTCTAGGCCAACTCTGAACAGCCTCTATCTTCTTTGGGTCAACCTGAATACCCTCACTGGACACCACGTGTCCCAAGAAAGCCACTGTACTGAGCCAAAACTCACACTTGGAGAACTTTGCATAAAGCTTCTCCTCCCTCAATCTCTACAACACAACTCTCAAATGCTCTGCGTGCTCCTCCTGACTACGCGATTACACTAGGATATCATCAATGAACACTATCACGAACAAATTAAGATAAGGCCGGAACACGCTGTTCATCAAATGCATGAATGCTGCTGGGGCATAGGTTAGCCCGAAAGACATAACAAGAAACTCATAATGACCATATCTGGTCCTGAAAGCAGTCTTAAGAATATTTGAATCCCTGATCTTCAACTGGTGATAACCCTAACGGAGATCAATTTTGGAGAATGCCCTCGCTCCCTGAAGCTGATCAAATAAATCATCAATGCGAGGCAAAGGATACTTGTTCTTAATTGTTACTTTGTTGAATTTCCTATAATCAATGCACATTCTCATCGTGCCATCCTTCTTCTTCACAAATAAAACCGGTGCACCCCAAGGGGACACACTAGGCTGAATGAACCCCTTATCTAGGAGTTCATGCATAGTTCAGCATCCTTCTCTACCAAGAAAAATGGTTTACCTTTAATTCTTTTTATTAGCATTTCCATACTTTTGTCAGTGAAATCATTGTCTGAATCCGAAGAAATATCACCAATTCTATTAAGCTTGTATGGATCAGACTTGGAAGAAAGTTGAGAATAAAATTTCCTTTCGTCTTTGTCATCATAGAGTCTTATGATCCCCGTTTTATGGGAACTGCCACGACCAACATAAAACATTCCATCACCATCAACCTTGTCACTCTCAATTAAACTTTTTTTCCTTTTGGAAAATGAACTAGACAATTCCTCTATAACCTCTTTTATCTACTTAGGAAATGTTTAAATTCCTACCTATACCATCACTATTTGAAACACATGCCATTGCCTTCTCATCATCATTGTCGCTAATGAGAACAACAATTGATCAAAGACACACCCTGTCAGGTATTATATCCAAGTTATTCTCTATATCCAAGTTCATCCCGAGTAATAGTACCACGAGGATAATCACCAAAGCCGCCAGACAACTTTATGATGCCAATGAAGCAAGATAAGCTATTCAATGAAACTCGTATTGTAAAGAAGAAGAAAGAGACTGATTCAGAAAGGTGGGTCGAGGGTCGAGCCTCGACTATACATGTAAGCTTTTTTACTTTTCATTAAGTATTTTGATTTACTTTTATATAAATTTTGAAATACTAATTCAATATAATTTTTCTTATAGGTTCGCTTCACAGCTGATGTGGGGGAATTCATACGCAGTCAGCCACCTAATGAGTCGGGCAAGGCAATCCAACTTTCGAACGAGGATGTTGAAAGAACACTCCTTGAGTACTTTATATACTTTGAACTAGACAATAGAACCAGTTTTCGAATGGGATTGTAATAAGCGTTAACTTAGTTTTGTTAGCTTAATGTGTTAGTTCTATTGAACTTTATATTTTGTTGCTTTTAATTATTGTTGTTGTTGGCATAAAATGCATGTTTAGGATTATTGGTAAGCTGACAGGTGGTGTAGCTGCCAAAACAGGCAGTTTATGCCAAAAATATACTAAGAAAAGCGACCAACTTTGGTCTCCAGTTGGTCGCTTTTCACTTAAATAAATAATTTTCTGGGCAATAGCGACCAACCTTGGTCGCTACTTAACCCAGATTTCTCAAAAAAGCGACCAACTTTGGTCGCCATTCCATTTAAAAAAAAATAATTTCTGAAAATATTGCGACCAAAGTTGGTCGCTTATAATTTTAAAAAAATTAATTCTTGCAGTTTGCGACCAATTTTGGTCGCTTATTTTAATTTTTTTTTTATAAAAATTAATAATAAAGCGACCAACTTTGGTCTCTATTTTCCAGATTTTTAAAATATAATATTTTTTACAGACCAAAGTTGGTCGCTTTTTATGATTAATAATAAATAAGAAAAAACATAATTTATATTTGGAGACCAACGTTGGTCGCCAAATTTATATTATTAAAATAATATAGCGACCAACGTTGGTCGCTACTTTCTTTACAGGAATATTTGGTCCTTAAGGTAAAGGGACCAGCTTAATATCGACCAGCCCATTTTTGTCGCTATTTGGTCGCTTTTTCGCCTAAGTTGGTCGTTTTTTGTGGTCGCTTTTTTTTTCCGGATTTCTAGTAGTGAATTAATATTAAATGTCGTAGTTTTTATGACATTTTGTCATAAATGGCAAAAAAAGGAAGTTTTCCGACATTTATTTTAAAAGTCACTAAATAAATGTCGTCATATGCTCAATTTCCTGTAGTGAATATAGGGATCAGGCATGTTTGGACGCTTTTTGGTCGCTTTTTTACCTATAAGCGACCAACTTTATTCGCTTTTTGTGGTCGCTTTTTACCGAATTTCTAGTAGTGATATAAGTTAATCCCACCTGAGAATAACCCATCAAGGTTTTCATAGAAGAGTTGACAGTGACTCTTCCAAAAGCAACAGTTGAAATGAGTTGCCTACTATTTGAAAAAGAGAAAAATTGAGAGAAGTAGAAGCAGAAGAGTATATAAGAAAGAAGAGTTGCTTTTGATTGCATAACGAAGGGTAATTTGATAATTGTGCCTTACTTCATGGGTAATTTGGCATACTTCTTATTTGAAGGTTAGTCAAATACAAACCAGCCTGTTAAAAACTTAGATTCACATAAATAATAAATTCACCTAACACGGCAAAAACCACTTTCATATGTTTAAACACAACTCAAGCCAACTGCTTACAACATTTGCCTTGAATCTGTTTATTGGCTAATGACATCAGGGAGTCTTATGCTTCAAGAAATCTTTGCAGCATCAACAAATGTTACGTAAATACTTATTTTTCTTCTGTCTATGACTCCAGTGGTGGGCTTATCAGAACCTGCATGTGTAACATGCGAAATTCCAAAACTTTTCCCACTGGACTGATTGCAACGGCAAAGAGAAGTGAAATACTTCTGCTATCAACAATAAATAGCTCTAGATATACCTTATTATGCGCCTCCACAACACCAACACCAACAACAACGAACTAAGCTCATTTGACAAGGAAATAGCTAGAACTACAAGGACCATGAGAACAAAAACATAAGGATAAGAGGATTCAGATCAAGAAAATCAATCATATTAATGTCTCCCTGCAATAAAGTTACTACCTTGCAGGCGAAGTATTCCTTTCCTTTCTTTCCCTTGCTTTTTTATCTTTCTTTCAGTAGGGGCAGATCAACTGAATTTGTTTTCTGTTATTACCATAAATTGCAGTCAACTAACACAGTTTCTGTTGCATCCCAACACCCCACTATAGTAAACACAAAACCATGAGCTTTTTTTAAAAAGAAATAAATTATTGCAATTATAATCCCTTAGTCCCAATAAAGAGACATCATTTAGTTTGGTCACCATCCTTTAAACCAAAAAGTGAAGAAATTAAAGCAGTGGTAAAATTCCCATATTATCTACATCCATTTACAAACTTAAATTCTATCCTTCATGCCATGACCATCAACTAAAAAATGGTTCTTGTTTTTCCTTTTACTAAGTCACATAGAAAATAGGGGGAAACAAAAACACCTCTATATACAGTATACCACTTTGTCTTTGTTCAATCAGAATGAATTATGTATCTTGATCAGCCTATTTGCAATATCAGAATCAACCAGAAATAACCTAAGAGAATGACGGACTCATCATATTCAAAAAAATAATTAATAAGCAAAGAAAAGGAGAAATTGAAACTGGGAGAAGGAATCACACATTTCACCATTAGGTGAATAAAGGAAAGGGCATTGAAAACAAGACAATCTAGCCACAACAGTTCTCATACTTTTTATCTCCAATCAAAGCTCCATTATTTTTGTGATCAACCAAAGAATCCAATAAAGCTTCAAGCTTTTCTTTTTTCTTTTCTTGGGGAATTTCTCCACTTTCTGTAAATTACCACAATAAACACACAGTCTCAGAATCTAATAATGATTTGGGTTTATGTGTAGGGATACTTATATACATAAGGAAGTCTACATAGATATGTTTGGGACGTGGGGTCCATACCTCACCTACCAAAGAAAAAGGAAAGAAACGAAAATGAGATGATTGCCGACACTTACGGCTTAGGCGGTGGACAAAACCAATTTTTCTAAAGTTGGTTTTCTGATTGAAGATTCCAATCTTTGATTGGTTAGAGGTTCGGTGGCTTCTCCTATAAATAGAAGTATTCAGTTTCATCTCGAACACACCAAAATAATGAGAGAAGCAGAAAGCAGTGAGAGTAATCCACAGATTGTTGCCTGTGAGATAACTAGTGAGTAGTTGTAATATTGTAGTGATGTGTTTTAAATAAAGAGTGTTATTTCTTTCAAAGTTGTAGTAGTATCTTGACACTACTGAGTTGTAATATTATAGTGATAATATTGCTCCGCTCGAATATTGTATTTTACCCCGCTAAAATATTTGATGTCATTATTACTCTCTTGTGTTATTATTATTTGCTGTGGATATTATTCCTGAGAGAGATTATTATTTTTTATCCCAACAATGTGGTATCAGAGCCATGATAAATAATGGTCCACTATCTTTTCAGTACCTCCGTCTGACAAAAGATAATTATGAGAAATGATGTCTACGTATGAAAGCCATTCTTGGCTCTCAGGATGTGTGAGAAGTTGTAGATGGAGGGTATGCAAAACCAGATAATGAAGAAGCTCTACCTCAAACTGAAAAGGAAGTCTTGGCAAAGACAACGAAGAAAGATCAACAGGCCCTCACGCTCATCCACCAATGTTTGGATGATGTCATGTTTGAGAAGGTGGCAGATGCTACCACCTCAAAGGAAGCATGGGGGATTTTACAAAATTCTCTTCAAGGAATTGACAAGGTGAAGAAGGTAAAACTTCAAACTCTAAGGGCTGATTTTGAAGCTTTAAAAATGAAAGAATCCGAATGCATCTCGGATTATTTTTCAAAAGTGAAGGCTGTTGTAAATCAACTAAGAAGATACGGGGAGGACATAGAAGATGTCCATGTGGTAGAAAAGATCATTCGCACTTTAACACCTAAATTTGATTTTGTGGTGTGTGCTATTGAGGAGTCTAAAGATTTAGACTCTATGATGGTGGAGCAATTGGAAGGTTCTTTACAAGCCCACGAAGAAAAGATCAAAAGGAGAAAAGAGGATGAGGCCGAAACAAGCTTTACAGGCATCCTTCAAGGATTATGGAGGTGAAACAAGTTATCGAGGAAACGAAAGAGGACGAGGCCGTGGCGGTCATGTAAGAGGAAGAAGTAACGGTAACAGCTTCAACAATGAAGTTAAAATCCACCAAACATTCAGAGGTCGTGGTCATAGACATAGAGGAGGAAGAGGACATGGCTACTACCAAGAAAATAATAAACAAAGGTATGACAAATCAACAATTGAGTGTTATAATTGTCATAAATTTGGCCATTACTCTTGGGAATGTCGTAGCAATGTTGAAGAAAAAGCTAACCTTGTTGACGACAAGAAAGAAGAAAATGAGTCAACGTTTTTGATGGCACTCAAGGAAGAAGATAGAGATAATTGCAACTCGTGGTATTTGGACAATGGAACAAGCAATCATATGTGTGGATGCAAAGAGAAGTTTGTGGAGATTAATAAAACAGTGAGAGGTAATGTGTCCTTTGGAGATACCTCAAAGGTTTAAATTGAAGGGATAAGTACGATTCTGATCTCCTATAAAGATGGTAGTCACAAGTTAATTCAAGATGTTTATTATGTGCCAAAATTAAAAAGTAATATTTTGAGTTTGGGCCAACTTCTTGAAAAGGAATATGACATCCACATGAAAAATATGCATCTTTGGCTTAGAGATTCAAGTGGAATTCTAATTGCTAAAGTGCATATGGCAAAAAGTAGATTGTTTTCTCTGAATCTTAAAACAATTGATACAAAGTGTTTGAAGGCAAATGTGCAAGATGAATCATGGTATTGGCACATGCGATTTGGGCACTTGAATTTTGAAGCACTCAAATCAATGGGAGAAAAGAAAATGGTTCATGGGATACCATCAATCAACCATCCAAATCAATTGTGTGAAGCTTGTCTTCTTGGGAAACATGCAATGAGGAGTTTTCCAAAGGAGGCTATGTCAAGATCAACCAAGCCGCTCCAGCTTGTCCACACTGATGTGTGTGGACCAATCAATCCATCTTCTTTTGGTAAAAGAAAATACTTTCTGCTTTTCATTGATGACTTTAGTAGAAAAACTTGAGTTTATTTCTTAAACCAAAAATCTGAAGCTTTTGCTGCTTTTAAAAATTTCAAAGTGCTTGTGGAAAAAGAAAGTGGCTATGAAATTAAAGCTCTAAGGTCCGACAGAGGAGGCGAATTCACTTCAAACGAATTTAATGACTTCTCTCAACTTTATGGAATTCGTCGCCCTCTAACGGTACCTTATTCACCTCAACAAAATGGTGTTGCAGAGAGAAAGAATCGAACGATTCTTAATATGGCTAGATGTATGTTGAAAGCTAAAAGTATGCCCAAGGAATTTTGGGCTGAAGCTGTTTCTTGTGCAGTTTATTTGAATAACAGGTCTTCAATAAGAAATGTTAGAGATCAAACCCCTCAAGAAGCATGGAGTGGAAGAAAGCCAAGTGTCAAGCACTTGAGAATCTTTGGGAGCATAGCCTATGCTCATATGCCACATCAAGGGAGACCAAAGCTTGATGATCGAAGTGTCAAGCATGTATTTATTGGCTATGATACGAGTTCAAAAGGATACAAGCTATACAACCCAAGCAGCGGCAAGATGGTGGTAAGTCGCGATGTTGAATTTGATGAAGAATTGGCATGGAACTGGGAAGCTCAGGAAGAAACTTCATATGATTTTCTTCAATACTTTGGTGATGAAGAAGAACCAGAAATCGTTGAACCTGTGCAAGATACAACTCCACCTCCTTCTCCAACTAATGTTGCATCTCCCTTTTCTCAAGAAAGTTCAAATGAACAGCCGCAAAAGACAAGGAGTATTCAAGAGCTCTATGAAGACATAGAAGAAACTACTAATTTTGATTCTTTATATTGTCTCTTTGCTGACAGTGAACCAATGAACTTTGATAAATCTTTTACAGATAACAGGTGGAGACAAACCATGAAGGAGGAGATCGAGTCAATAGAAAAGAACAACACTTGGGAGTTAACAACTCTTCCCAAAGGTCATCGAGAAATTGGAGTGAAATGGGTATACAAGACAAAGAAGAATGTTAATGGAAATGTGGAGAGATATAAAGCACGACTTGTGGCTAAAGGCTACAAGCAAAGGCAAGGCATTGACTATGAAGAAGTTTATGCACCTGTTGCCCGCATGAAGACGATTCGTTTGCTGATCTCTTTGGCGGCGCAAATGAAGTGGAAGATTTATCAACTAGATGTCAAGTCAGCCTTCTTGAATGACTATCTTGAAGAAGAAGTCTATGTTGAACAGCCATTGGGTTTCATGGTCAAAAACCATGAAGATAAAGTGTTACGGTTGAAGAAAGCTTTATATGGATTAAAGCAAGCCCCACGAGCATGGAATAGTTGCATCGACAAGTATTTTCAAGACTATGGGTTTACTCGTTGTCTCCATGAATATGCTTTTTACCTTAAAGTTCATACTAATGGAGATATCTTACTTGTTAGTCTTTATGTTGATGATCTTATTTTCACAGGTAATAACCCAAGTTTGTTTGAATCTTTCAAGAAAGATATGTCCCGTGAATTCGAGATGACAAACGTAGGGCCCATGTCATATTACCTGGGCCTAGAAGTGAAACAGATGGAGGATGAAATTTTTATCTCTTAAGAAATCTATACAAAAGAGATATTGAAGAAGTTCAACATGCTCGATTGCAACCCTGTGAACACACCGATGGAAAGTGGGACAAAATTGTCCAAGTTTGATGACGGAGAAAAAATGGATCTCACATTCTTCAAAAGTCTTGTGGGAAGTTTGAGGTACTTGACTTGTACCAGGCCAGATATACTTTTTGCAGTTGGAGTAGTAAGTCGCTTCATGGAGGCTCCTACCTCTACTCACTTGAAGGTTACTAGAAGAATTCTTCATTACCTAAAAGGTACGATCGATTTTGGGTTATTTTATTCTTCTTCTAATGATTTCAACCTTGTGGGATTTTGTGATAGTGATTATGCGGGAGATATTGATGATAGAAAAAGTACAACTGGTTTTGTATTTTTCTTGGGTGATTCTGTTATTTCTTGGAGTATAAAGAAATAGTCCATTGTTACTCTCTCGACTTGTGAAGCCGAATATATAGCAGCAACATCATGTACCTGTCATGCTATTTGGCTAAGGAGATTATTAAAGGAGCTCATTTTGTCACAAATGGAAGCTACAGAGATTTGTATTGATAACAAATCAACACAGGCACTCGCGAAGAATCCAGTGTATCATGATCGAAGCAAACATATAGATACAAGGTATCACTTCATCAGAGAATGCATTGCCAAAAAGGAAGTCGAGCTCAAATATGTGAAGTCTCATGATCAAGTTGCAGATATCTTCACAAAGCCTCTCAAGTTTGAAGATTTCAGAGATTGAGAACAAGACTTGGAATGAAGAAGAAAAATCAAAATTAAGGGAGAGATATGTGGGGTCCATACCTCACCTACCAAAGAAAAAAGGAATGAAACGAAAATGAGATGATTGCCGAAACTTACGGCTTAGGCGGTGGACAAAACCAATTTTTCTAAAGTTGGTTTTCTGATTGAAGATTCCAATCTTTGATTGGTTAGAGGTGCGATGACTTCTCCTACAAATAGAAGTATTCAGTTTCATCTCGAACACACCCAAATAACGAGAGAAAGAGAAAGTAGTGAGAGTAATCCACAGATTGTTGTCTGTGAGATAACTAGTGAGTAGTTGTAATATTGTAGTGAGGTGTTTTAAATAAAGAGTATTTTTTCTTTCAAAGTTGTAGTAGTCTCTTGACACTACTGAG